GCCAAGAGTAGTATGAAAGCTGAAATCCTCAATGGAACAAAGTGTCAAATGAAGTTCAAAGTACTAACATCTAGTGAGTGCTCAGCCATTTAGATCCTTCCTGAATTATGAACTGTTTCCAGTGTCAGAATACTGCAAAGATGTCAGATGGGTACTGGAACTCTTTTCTTGTAAAAGACAGGTAACTGAAAATCCCATTTCCAAGTGACCAGAACCTAATGAATCCTGAATTATGTCCACAAATTGATTTTTTAACCTCTATAGGAGACTAAAATTTATATAAGTACTTTCCTTTCTTTTATAAAGTTCGGTCTTCACAACCAATCTGTCCAGCATCATTATCTTCATTTTTTAAAAATTTGATTTACAGGTAAGGAAAAGGAATCTCACATTTGCACTGAAATTACTGCATATCCTTTGCTAAACTTTGTTTTTAGGAAAAGTGATCAACACAGCTGATCCTAATATTTTTAACATTTTCCTACCAGAACCACTCTTCCTTTTCATTCTATTATCAATTGAGAGATGCTAATGTCTTAAGCCTTCAGACTGAGCAGAGTCCAGAGCTATCCTTTAGCAGAAGCCACCAATGAGCCATATTTTGCTTTGGCTTTTAAACAAGAGAATAACTTTCACAAGACTCCACATTTGTGGAGGTGATGGTAAGTATTCAATCACTTACCTGCTCCCCTCCCTGGGCTTACACCTGAATTGTGGTTCTCTTATTTTACACTTTCCACCAGAACAGCTATGCATATCTCCAGGCTCAGCCTCTTTCTCCCAGCCTCAGCTTCTTTCCACTGAGATGGTATTTAGTATACTTCCCTTTCTGCCCTGTCCTAGAACCTTGCTTCTCCTGATCTTAGCCTTACACTGGCAGAGATAATTATCATGCCACATTGTTAATATCACACTCGCTGTTGGTTCAGAAGGCATCTTGCAAACCATTTTCCCAGGCTGGTCTCAAACTACAATTCTGATTTCATGCTGCCATGTAAGTAAGATTGCTGCTGTGAGACACTAACCTGGCTTAATTAATATCTGATTATTCTTGATATCTGACAAAGTTCTTCTTGGTTGCTCTGCTTTGATAAGATTATGACAGGTCATTTTAGCAGCAATGCTTCCATTCTTTATAACCTCTCAAGAAATTTTCCACTCACAAACCCATCCCTTTTTCTCCTTGACTATTAATTCCCATTCGACTTTGTACTTGGAATTGACACTGAATTATGTGAAATGTCTTTTAACACAATGCACTCTTCTTTCTATGTAAGCCAGACCTTGTAAGCAGCTTACAGTTGATACTGAAAAATAAACTGAAACAAAAGCTTTTGTCACTATGAAACGGGGCTAACCTTTCCTAAGATATCTTGAAATATTTTCAATGTGTGTTGTGTATGAGGAAACTAGTAAGAATCTTGTGGTTAATTTACAAATTACATAAAATCTCAGCCTATTTCGCATATCTTTTCCAGGTCTTTATAGATATTAATGTTCTGCAGTCACTGCTGGGCCTCCAGTTTGCCCTGGGGTTGGGAGATGGTCTCCTTCCTAAGAACAGATTTACCAGGTTTGCAGGACAATCAGTAGGGCTGCATTTTCACAGTTTCTTAATTTGAAATTACTGTTATAAGAACAAATCAATAAATTTCACATACTCTTTACCTCAACATCCCATTCAAATTTTGCCCTCTGCGCCAGAGCTTTTCTAGCAAAATGATCCATCTAGGAAGACAATGTTAATATGGCAATATTCTCCAAATGGATCCAAAGATCAATATAAGTCCTATCAGAATCTCAGCTGCCATTATTGGAAAAATGGACAAGTTATTTCTAAAACTTACAGAAATACATTTTGTCCACATAGGTAAAAGTATCTTGAAGTGCTAGTGGCTCACCCCTGTACTCCTAGCTTCTCAGGGGTATGAAATCTAAGGATTGACGTTCAAAACCAGCTAGTACAGCAGAAAAGTCTGTGAGACCCATCTCCAGTTAACCCAAAAAAGCCAGAAATGGAGTTGTGGCTCAAGTGGTAGAGTGCTAGCTTTGAGCACAAAAGATCAGGGACAGTGTCCAATCCCAAAATTCAAGCTCCAGGACTGGCAAAAAGAAAAGAGAGAGAAAAAAAGGAAGGAATGGAGGGAGGCAGGACAGGAAAGAAGGAAGGAAGGAAGAAAGAAAGGAAATGAAAAAGCAAGCAAGCAAGCAAACAAGCAAGTAAGAAAGAAAGAAAGTAGGGAAGAAAGGAAAGGAAAGAAAGAGAAAAGAAAGCTGAAGGATTCATTTCCCATTGTTAGAATTTAAAATTATGGTAAATAAAACAGTGTGGCATAAGAATAACTTGTAGGTCAATGTAATAGAAATGAGAGTGAAAATAAAGTCATATTCCTGTGAATTTATTTTGAAAACTCTACTTTATTTAACAAAATATAATTAGGCAAATGAAAGGAGTACAATGTAATACTTCGTTGCATGTACATGTTGCAAAATGTTTACATTAGGCTAATTTATCTATTAACTCAAAAATTTATAATTTGTGTTGATTACTTTAAAATGGATACCTTATTATGAAGCCCACTAAAACTGCTTTAAAATGAGGGGAAGAAAATAAGAAATAGTACTAGAAGGGGTACATCTGATGACAGTATATGTATGTATATAAATATCTAATAAGATATTGGCTATAGGGCTTATTGATTTTTAACAATGATGGTATTATAGGTTTTTGGAGAATAGCCTTACAAAATCTCATGTTTGGATGAGAACTCTTAGAAGAAAACTGAACTGTAAATCTTCATAATACCTTGGCTATGGTTATAGTGATGCAATAAATGTGGTAGTGCTGTGGCTTTACTACATCCTGATTTGTAGTCTTTTAGGTAAATGCCTAGGAGTGAAAATGCTAGATATTAGGGTGGTTCTATGCTTACATTTTTGACAAATTCCACACCAGTTTCCAGAGTGGTTGAACAAGTTTGCATTCCCACCAACAGTGTATTATGGTTCCACTTTGTCTGCATCCTCACCAGCATCTGCGATCAGTTGTTTTCTTGATAATGGCCATTCTAACTGGGTGAAACCATGAAACTATTACAGGAAGAATAAGGGAAATACCGTGGCTCCTGGGAGCAGGTAGAAACTTTCTGAAGCACAGCAAATCAAAGAAAGACTTGATAAATGGAACTACATTAGACTAAAAAGTTTCTGCATGACAAAGGACATAGCCAATAATCTAAAAAAGAAAGCCTATAGAATGGCAGAAGGTTTTTGCCAGCTACTCATCAGACAGTGGTCTAATATCCATTATATACAGAAAATGACAAATTCAACCCTCAAGAAATCTAACAACCCAATTAATAAGTAGACTAATGAGCTAAAGAGAAACTTCTAAGGAAAAGAAGTAAAAATGGCCAATAGACACATGAAGAAATGCTAGGCATCTCTGGCCCTGAAGGAAATGCAAATCATAACTTGTGACTTTCTCCTACAGAAAAAGCAACCTCTGAGTTTAGAGACTCAAGCAAGGTGTTATTATCGTTGTGGGAAGGTTCTTACTTTACTGTGGGCAAACTGGCAAGTGGATGTTCTGGCTATACTCTTCTTCTAAAGGACCTATGGACACACATCTTAATAGAGACTTACTGGGTGATGTGTGCTTGAATGAGGTGGATGATGGTATGAGTTGATAAAAGAATAGAATATAAGAATCCAGGTATAGTTTCTGTGAGCTAAAAGAGGCTCTAGGAGGGAGCCATAGTTCTGCCACATTGAGTTCAGATCAAATTTCACCTTCTCCATAGATATTTCCTGTTAATCTCATGTTTTTCCTTTACACACAGAACTATTTTTGAATTTTCTAATTCTGATTGTATAGCAATTGAGAGTTGTAGGGGGCTGTCCTGATTTTACTGGAGTATAATGAATAGGGAGGAGGTCTTGGTAACTGTGTGTTAAGTACTTTCTCATTATTCTTATAATGAAAATATTCATTATATTCATTACTCTTAGTCAGCAGTGTAGCACTCACAAACACATAAGTTTCATTCTAATAATGCTTCTATATTGTAATTATGATCTTTGGAATTTTAGGCTGCATTTATAAAATAAAATGATTTGTACACAGGTAAGAGTTTTAATTCCTCTGCATCTGTCAGACAAAAATGGTGGCTATTCAGTTTCTGGAAAATATTCTAATGCACCTCAATAGGGAAATAACCTAATTATAATGGATTCAAATAAGCTGACTCAGGATAAAAAGACATGGAAAAGAGACTTGAGAAGCAGTTGAAATTAATTGCAGATTTTTGTGGTAGAGAAAATAGATTTTAATTTGAAATTCTCTTAATTGGAAGAAAAGATGTAGTTCTTTGTACTATGGCCTCACTGGGTCTGAAGGTTGGTGATCTTGGAATATATATATTTTAATTCTAAACAAGTACAGTGTGCTAACAATAAGACCCCTACAACAATGAGTATGCTCTCTCAAGAGAAGGTACTTTTCCATCTGTGTGTAAAGATGTTATGTCATAATTCTAGAAAGAAATTCTAAAATTCCCAAATTCCACCTTGGAATAAAATAGAACTTTGGAAAAGAGACCAACATAAAGATCTAGTATGGTCCATAGAAGTAGGTCTTAGTAGATAAAGACACTAAGAGAAAGTTCACTGGCATTTGTGTGTGTATATGTGTGTGCATGTGTGTGTGTTGCAAGAAATGTATCCTTTCCAATTTTTTTTTTACCAGTGAGATACTATACAAGACCCAAGAAAGAAATACGAACAGGAGTGAAGGGAGATTTCTTTATTGAGGTATAAAACACAGCCGGTCTGTCAATGAGACATTAGGGAAGAGTCCAATAGCATGCCATAAAGATGGCTCTGAATCGTATTCTGATCCCATCCAGAGCATCAGCAAAAATGAATAGAAGTCAGTCAGACCCCAGGAATAAAGACGATAACGAAGAAATCAGTGCTGTCTATCCATGTCCATGGAGAAGTTAGCATTGTCCTTCATGAAGCAACTGAACTTTTCCACCACTTTTCCTAAGGGAAAAGATAATTAACAAGATTCATGAACACAAGAAGAACTGTGTAATATAAAAACTGTGAAGAGCTATAAAAATGATGAATTATAATCTCACTTTCGTTTGTCCCTCAGATTCTCCTGGGATGGAGCCGGAACCTTCACTGCAAGGAGGACTTGCAACACATTGCCCTCCCAATGGCCCACGTACATAATCAAGGTCCCAGTATGTGTCTGTTAGAGAATCTTTTCTTATATGAAATACAATGTCTCAAATGGAACAAAAGTGTGTAGACTTGGCCTTCTGGGATTAGCCCTAGCTTAGTGGCTTCTGCCATAATTATACAAAAAATGAAAACACAAAATTTAAATTAAGTAGTTAAAATCCAAGGGCTAAAAGTAGGATTAACACTGATACAAAGCTGACTTGGTATATGACAGTAAGTACTAAATTACATGCATGTTTTGCATCAAAAATATGACATCTGCTTGGTTGCATACATTTACTCAAAAACAATGTGCAAGCCAAACAAAATACCTAACAAAACCTGTGCATGGAATTCTGGTCCAATGACCAGAATCTATTTTCGATTATTTTTACTTATTCTCCTTACATATGGTAAATTCAGTATATAGAAGCTGGAACTGCAGTTTGTCTAAGAAGCAAGCTGTTAATTATCTTAAAAGTGAAGTAGAACAGTAGTCTCCTTTTTGAGTGATGAGGAGGTGTAAATTTCAAGACCATTTCTTTAAATAAGACATATGAAAGTAGAGCTGGTAGCTTACACCTGTAACCCTAGCTATTCAGGAGGCTGAGATGAGAGAACTGTAATTTGAAGTCAGCTTGGGCAGAAAAGGTCATGTGACACTTATCTCCAATGGACGAACAAAAAAGTCAGAAGTGGAAGTATGGTTCAAGTGGTGGAGTGCCAGCCTTGATTGGGGAAAAAAAGGTAGGAAGAGTTCCCAGGACATAAATTCCAGTACCAGAAAGACAGACAGACTGACAGAGACAGACAGACAGACAGACAGAGACACACACACACACACACACACACACATTATAAGGTATGTAACTCTGCTACTGAAAACAAAGTTTATATTGACACTGTATAAGCTCTGGAACACAGAGAAAGCAGTCTGGGAATTCATGGTTTTATATTTCCACAATTAACAGCAATCTGAGCATCTATGAGGGCATGGGAGTAATCCGAGTGGGCAGTGCAGCTGCCCAGCCCTGGTTTGACCACCTTGCAGTCAGTTCTCTGTCCCTCACCAGACATTCTGGGTGGTGATAAGTGCAGCTTGTGGAGTGTTAAGCAGAATCTTAGAAAGAGGAGAAATATGTATGGAGAAAACTCAGCCCAGATCACATTTTCTTCTCATGAGATACTTACAAGATCTCAGCACACAGCAAGCAGGAATTCCCGTAGGTGATGTAGTTAGTTCCACAAACTGGCAGGTATGTGATGGGGCAAGGGATGGCTACCACTGGGTACTTTTTGTAAATGCTGCAGTCCATCTGGTCAGACACAAGACAAAGTCCTTCTTTTTTTCTCAGATCTCACATTTGGCTACACTAGCTCTCTTGTACAGGCTATAACAGCTGGAATTCTCAGCTCACAGGTTCTGATACTGTGTGTGTGTATGTGTGTGTGTGTGTGTGTGTGTGTGTGTGTGTGTGTGTGTGTGTGTGTGTGTGTATGCAGGTCCTCAAGGCCTGGGCTCTGTTCCTGAGCTTTTTTGCTCAAATCTAGCACTGTACCACATGAGCCACAGTTCTACTTCCAGCTTTTTGGAAGTTCATTGGAGATAATAGTCTCATAGACTTTTCTGCCTCCACTGCCTTGGATCTGTGATCTTCAGATCTCAGCCTAGGACCCACTAGCACCCAGTAAGACTACTTTCAGAAGAAATAATATCACCACTGTGATCAATACCAGTACTAGTGGCAAAATTCCTATTGTTACTTGTACATTCCGTTAAAATTGCAGTTAAAAAGTACCAGACAAGCCACTTAAACCTTACATAAAATTTCTTTAATATTGATAACAATTGAATATCATAAATACTACTAGTCTCTGTTTACAAATGGGGAAAGTAAGGCTTAGAATGACGCTGAAACTCATATACAGTCAGTTCTGATAAGTAGTACAGTTGGGATTTAATTCTAGAGTCTATACAAATGACTGATGCACCTCTGTCCTGCCTGTCTTGTGCTGTTCTTTCCGTGAAAATGTAATCTATCTTTTAGCTGGAAGCCGACTTTCTCCTTTAATTCTGGATAAAAATATTTTTTAAAGATTTTTTAAAATGTTTATGCCAAAATTCTTTCTGGAGATGAGAAATGTTTCTTTACCTGTGTTGTGTCCCCCTTTCTCCTCCAGAAGCGCACTGGGTTAACCATGTTGATTTAAGCGACAGCCAATAGAAATTGAAATGCCAATCAGCATACTCACCATTATTGAAGGCTGACTGGTAACTTCTGAAAGACAGGTATAGATGGAAATGTTAAAATAAATTAAAGGCTGGGATTTCATTAAGCAATGTGATTTTTCTACTCTTATAAAAGATTGCATCTGTTCTGGCAACAAGTCTCAGTGTATCCTTATCCTTGTAAAAAATCTCAGATATTTGCTAAAAAGGTTGAATGGCTAATGGGGTAGGGTCCCTTGATTTAGGCAAGGGAAGTTTTTAACTGTTCTCATTTTGTTGATAAAATGATAATTTTTTCTGGAGTTTATTGTGTCTTTGGTAATGGTTCAAAACCAGTAACAATAATAATAAGAGTGTGGAGCCTCATTTTGTTTTTCATAGCCTCTGCTTCCATATTGACATGAAGGAATTAAAGAGTATACAAGTTGTCAAAAGCCAGGCACTGATGGTTTATGTTTGGGAGCTTAGCTACTCAAGAGGCTGAGATCTGAAGATCAAGGATCCCAGCCAATCTGACCAGATGAATCTGAGAGACTTTGATCTCCACCTAAACATTAAAAAACAGGAAACAGAGGGGTGGTTCAAATGGTCTAGTGCCAGCCTGGAGCAGAAAAGCTAGGTAAGAGCATGAGGCTTCAAGTTTAATTCCTAATACTGACAAATAATAAACAAACAAGTGTGTTAGAAAAGTTTCAATTATGCACTTGGTACCATATAAAAGTTGAACTGCAGATGGGCTGGGAAGGTGGCTCAGTGGTAGAGTGCTTGCCTCGCATGCATGAGGCCCTGGGTTCGATTCCTTAGCACCACATAAGCAGAAAAAGCCAGAAGTGGCGCTGTGGCTCCAGTGATAGAGCTCTAGCTTTGAGGTGAAGAGCTGAGGGACAGTGCCCAGGCCCAGAGTTCAGGCCCCATGACTGGCAAAAAAAAAAGAAAAAAAAGTTGAACTGCTGAATTCTGGTTCCTGGAAAAATGTATTTTGTTTTGATCCCCTTATACTGATTTGGGAAAGTTCTTTTTTTGTTGCATTTTTGCACTGAAGAATAATATCCAGTAATGCTAACAACTTCCAGTGCCTGCCATGTACAACTTGTGGATAAAATAAAGGGTTTCTTTTTGGTCCATGGGATGCAAATACATAAATAAGAAGACATTAGGCCAAAATATCTTAACTAAGAACTGGAGCTTAAGCGTCTCTTTTTCCAGACTAGAGCCATTTCTCTTACAGATTAGCACATTTTAAATCCATACGTCCCATAAGGGACTGCTTGGAACAACAATCAATGGCGGGGTGAGCACTGTCCTCTGACTCACCTGAGCTGCTGCAGAAATGGGTAACTGCACAGAGCAGAAGGACACCTCCAAAGATCTTCATGGTGGAGCTGACAGCAAGGCAGGGGCTGCTCCACGATGGTCCCAGGGCTGAATGTGCCATGCCCTAGGGATCATGTTTATATGCAACCCTTGGTTTCTCCACCTTTCCTGTGAGGTCAGCCAGAGTCAGTGCTGGCTCTGAAAGGATCCCAAACCATGTCACACCCCAGGTGGTATTGCAGTCCCTGTCACTTAATTGCTAGTTCCTTTATGACAAACAGGTTGACTGAGGTAAGAAATATATTTCTGCATGTCCTATAGGTGGGGACTCTTAGAACTGTAAACTTCACACTGAAGAGACTAAGTGCTGGTTTCTTGGGCAAGTTGTGAAATAAGAAGACATTTCAAACATCCTTATTTTTTACGCAAATGGAAGATTTTTAAACCAGTTTGCTTGATTGTATGCTATGCTTATAGTTTTGACTTCCGGGAAAGTAAGACTTTAGTTTTGCAGCAATGAGCTTAGGAAGCAAGCTGGGACTTGGTAAAGGGAAGTATTTATGAGGCTTGGAGAAAGGTATTGAAATGTTCTAGCTGTATGATCTTGAGTATGCCATTTCAAGCTGTGGGCCTGTACCAATTGCAAGACTTGGGAATCATGGTGGTAACACAGAAGCACAAGATTTCTGTGATATTAACAAGGCAGGTTTGTTTCTCACACAAACTATATCTGAATTAATGATGGTTAGTTAATGGAACCACATGGCCTTCACTGTGGCAGCCATAGGAACAGAACAACCAATGTTGGGGATATTATGACTAGGTGAAGTGAAGATGTTTTTCTGAGGATTTCCTTTTGAGCAATGAAATGAATGTTCCAGACCGAAATTGACCCTACTGTCATTCTCCCTCACTCTTCTAAGACTGCCCTGTGGCCTCACCAGCTACTGAGGTTAGAAAATGAATGCAACCTTTCTCAGGCAGGCCCTTGAAACCCAGAAAGGTATGAAATGGATGGAGCTGGAAAACAGCAACCATACCCATGTGCCCAGTCCCAGTGGGATCTATTGTAATCATCAGGAGAGCTACAAATGTGCAGTATAATCAAGTACATGAAAACCCTGTTTTATAACCCAGCTACTGGAATTCTTGGTGTTATCAATGAAGAGCCAGCGCTGTAGGTTACTGATGTTAGATTGTAAACTACATGGTTCAAGCACAGTTGTTCAAATGGCTGCTCCTTGTCTACAGACATGTGTATGAAAACCCTAGAGAAGGCAGTACTCTGTTCATTTAGGTCGTTGCTTAGTAGGTTTATTAATTACATTCTGAAACTCTGCACTTGCAAACAATATTAAGTAAAGTATAAAGGGCATGGCATGACTCCCTAAAATTTGGACTCAACATGTTTTGGGGAGGTGACATCATCTTCTGTGAGCCCTGAGTCCAATGAAGCTCATTGAAAATTTTCTTGTAAAAGATGTGATCTCCTTAGGCTATATAACTTAATCTCTGCATGCATTATTTCCTCATCTCTAAACTATACATAGTATTTAATTAACATTATATTTTTTACTATTAAGTGAAATTTTATATACACATGCACACTTGAGAATAAGGGATATGTTCTGAGAAATGTGTCATATTGAAATTTTGTGAGAGTATATCCAAACCTATATAGAACAGCTTACCTACACTATAAACTCATATATAATATATAAATATATGAATGTATATATGTGAGAGTCTACATATATGACTATATATAGACACATTTTGTGTGTCTATAAATACTCTCTCTCTATATCCTCATATATATGCACATTTAGGCATGTGTGTATACATATGCATGTGTGTATATATGGTGTAGCTTATTGCTCCTAAGGGTATCCAAATAAAACATTGTAATATTAAATGAAGCATAAGAGAAAATAACACAGTTAAGAGCCACAGTATGAGCCTGCCTCTGTATAACACAGCATACAATTGTACAGCTAGCTTTCATGAGTAGGAGTAAATGCTGAGATGATGAAAAGTATACAGTACAGGGAATACATAAACCAGCAATGCAGCCGTTGATTTTCTTTCACAGTTATTAACATACTGCATGGAGTGATATAGTCTATCCTTGGCCATGACTGTCAGGGGCTTAGGGTTGTTTACACCAGCATCAACACAAGCATGTGAAGAATGTGTTGCATTACAACATCATGAGGGCTGGAATGTCACTAGGTGACAGGATTTCTCAGCTCTGTTATACTTTAATGGGGCCACTCTCCTAAATGCAGTATGTGCTCCACCAAAACATTCTGTAGCATATGACTGGATAGATAAGTTCATTATGGTAGTGTGGGATAAACGTGTGTGTGTGTGTGTGTGTGTGTGTGTGTGTGTGTGTGTGTGTATGTGAGAGCTCCAATCTCATGGCCAGATCTTGATTTATGTTAGCTAATGATAATGTCATTCCTGACAATTTGATGAAGAAGTAATTATTATGTTTCATCTTTTACTTCTCTTTGTTTTGTACTAGTAGGGCTTGGATTCAGGGCCTGGCATTTGCTTGCTGTGCAAGTGTTCTACACTTGAACCACTCTCCTAATTCTTTTTGCTTTTAGTTAGTTTTTCAGATAGAGTCTTTCATTAGCTTTGCCTGGATTGGCCTGGAACCCTGATTCTCCTACTTATGCTTTCTTAGCAGTGGGACCACAGGCAAGTGCCACTTCACTTAGCTTATATTTTGAGATAAGTTCTGGCTAATATTTTTCCCTTGGCTGGTCTCAAACTATGATCTTCTGCCTCTGCCTCTTGAGTAGCTGGGAAGTACTGGTATGCGTTCTTGTGCATTCATGTTTTGAAACAGAGTCTTTTTAAAAAAAATGTACCCATACTGGGCCTTGAACTCAGGGCCTGGACACTGTTACCAAGTTTTTCTGCTCAAAGCCACCACTCTACTACTCTAGCCAGAACTCTACTTGCATCATTTTTTTTTGTTTTTTTGCTTGTTAATTGGAGATTGGAGTCAGACAAGCTTTGTTGCTCTGGATGGCTTTAAACTCTGATCCTCAGATCTCAGCCTCCTGAGTAGCTCAGATTATTGGCATGAACCACGAGAGTACACTAGGTAGAGCTTTTGAGATGGGCCAACTTTCTCCTCAGTCTGGTTTCAAACTCTCTTGTAAGTGGGTATAAATCCCCATGCCCACCCTAGAAGAAATTGTTTTTACCCTAATTTTACCAAGGAGTAAACTGAAACTCAAGATTTAAGTGATCTTCACATCATATCAATTATTGGAAGAGGTTGAGATTTAGTCACAGAAAAGAAATGAGGAAACTTCTAGTTAAGGAAAGCAATTGTATTTTATTGTTTGCTGTAAATTTTGAAGATAATGGATGTTGAGAAAAAGACCGTTACGTTTCAAGATGAGATGTATTTATTGCAGTTTGAAAATGAAAACTTCTTGGCAAAGAGGAGTAGAGATGGAAACAAGGGGCTATTGGAATGATGCAGAAATATAGAGTTATACCCTCTTTTTTGGATGTTTGATTTTCAAAGAGAAGAGAGGATAGCGCCATGTGAGGCTCCAGTGGGTTCTCGAATAGAATGAGTATCTGAGAGGCAGGGAAGAAGAAAAGTAAGATTCATGGTATAGAGTGGCTAATAAGATGCCTGTAGAGTGTTGGAAATAAGATGTTAACAAGCAAGTCAGGCTCAGAAAGACAAAGGGTATATGTTTTCTCTCATATGTGGAAGTAAGATTTAAAGCATAAACACATAAAAGCATACAGGGTCATATGTGTATATACAGAAACATATTGTCTATACGCAGGGAGGATTGCAATGGTGTAATTCCTTTGGACAACTAACAGTGTAACAAATTGAATATAAAACAGCTGAGCCAGATGCTGGTGGCTCACACCTGTAATCCTAGCTACTCAGGGGACTGACATCTGAGGATCACCGTTCAAAGCCAGCCTGGGCAGGAAGCTTTATCTCCAATTAACCCTTCAAAAACTGGAAGTGGTGCTGTGGCTCAAGTGGTAGAGTGCTAGCTTTGAGTGCAAGGGGCTCAGGAATAGTGCCCAAGGCCCCACAACTGACAAAAAAGAAAAAACAAAATAAAACAGAAAAACAGCTGAAACTTGTGTCGTTGAGAAGTGGGTAGGTCAAGTGGTGTGGTCAATGGAGAGAGGAAGGATGGGCAAATAGAGTGATACTCTTTGGAAATGAATATGTGAAAATGGAGCTAGGTAAAGGGGAATGGGTGAGGATGGAAGTGATAGGGGTAACAATAGAAAGGGTAACGCTGCTCAAGATGCATTGTACTCATGAACTGAGAGGTAGAACTGAAACTCCTTTTGTACTGCTTAAAGATAATAAAAAAGAAAATGATGAAAGATGAAGAGCAAAGACAAAACACCATTCCCTTTGACACAGGAGACTGAGATGGGCTGATAAATATGAGGCTGGGGATTTGGAAGGAAGGGAGGAGAGATGAAGGGACATACTGCAAGGTAGGCCATGACGGTTAGGTGCTAGGGTTGCTTGTTATAGTGGAAGATGGAGTGGATCTGGCAGCTTCAGAAGAATGCATAAATCCTAGAGCATTCATTGATGGGAGCATGGCAGATAGTCAATAATGAATATTAAAGTTAGCAGTAAATTCGTACCTTTCCATATATTTCTCTCAAAGCTTATTATTTTACAGAATGAGAAAGAATAGTGATTTTTATAAATAAGAGATGAATACATAAAAGATTTTGGTGGGGCACTGGTGGCTCATTTCTGTATTCCTAGCTACTCAGGAGACTGAGATCTAGGTACTGTTGTTCAAAGCCAGCCCAGACAGGAAAGTCCAGTAGACTCTTATCTCCAATTAACCACCAGATAACTAGAAGTTGTGCTGTGGCTCAAAGTAGTAGAGCACTAGCCTTGAGCAGAAAAGCTCAGGGACAGTGCCTGAACTCTGTGTTCAAGCCCCTTGACCACCACCACCACCAACAACAACAAACTTCAGAAGACCATAAGTAAAGGCTGTTAGGAAATAACAAATCTTGGAAGAC